TTCCGATCCATCGTTATAATCTCGTGGTATGTTTAATGGAGAATGTATTGCTTCGTCGCAAATATTTGGATAAGCGCACGACTTTGGCTTGCATTTGTGATAAACCTTTCTTTCCGTTGCCAGTTTTCCGCAAATCCAACTCTCACACGATATTAGAGTCGATTTAGGGGGATCACGCTTCATCGAAACGCATGCTTGCCGATCATTGTACGGCATAGGTTTGTCGGAATAGATCGGAGAGCTGGATTCAATCGACTGATAATATTCTTGATGATTCAATAAGTCGCTGCAAGATTTTCGGCGAGTTTCCGCAGATATTTGTTGACAATCGTTGTTTTCACATTTTTCGCGCGTCTTTTCCGCGCAAATTTCTGCGGATTGTCGATGATCCTCGATACATCCTCGAGATTTTTTCGAAACACCATCTTTCTCACAGCTGGACTGTGTGCTTTGCCATCGTTTAATTTGCGTAATTATCTCTCGGTCAATATTATGTTGCAAAAGTAGCCAATCACGTGTTGCGGAATCGCTTCGTCCAAAAGTAAAATTTTTATGCAAAATCATGGAATTTGGAGCAATGTGTAATTTTAATAATCTTGCCGGAATCTTCAGAGGCTGATTTAATATGCGAATTATTCGTAATTTTTCATTTGATAAAAATGTCGGGAGTCCAAGCAAGATATTCATTTCGCAAATCTCGCTCCTCCATCGAGACGAACGAGATTCTCCTTTGATAAAATTCTCGGACTCCTCCGGCAGTACTCTCGCCCTTTTAAACGAATGCGGCGCTGAGATCGTCTTTGTGGACACCTAGATGAGAAAACCGTATTATTTACGGGAAGAGATATAAAATTTCCAGCGCATTCGCAATATTTAAATTTGCTTTCGCCGAAAGTTTGCTCGTCCCGGCAAACTTATTAGATTTTTTAATAAATATATCGTAGAAATAGGAGAGCACGCTCTACTCTCTTTTTTATATAAACTGCACGAGTTAAATTTCTACGCTCTTTGAATAGTTTATAAGTTAAATAATAATTTTATGAGTATTTTCCTCAGGATAAGTTAACGTCATCAATACAACTTTACCTTGCGCCAGAAAGCTCCCAACATTTCTTACTAAAAATTTCAAATTTCAGTAGAGTTTGCAGAATTGTATTTTGATATTATTTTCGCCAATGCTTTTCAATCGTCAATTTCGCGTGCTTATTAAGCTCGAGGTTACATTCCAGAGGTGTCATTAAAATATTATCAAATACAATGTAGATATAGATGCATCAATCCATTGGTGAAATTAATAAAAAATCGCAAGAATGATTTATTCACGATCCGAAAAGAATTCATTTGGATTTATCAAAATTTTGGTGATGTTACAATTATATTGAAAATTTAGATACAACATGCGCAATTTGTGTCTGAGCGACTGAAGTACGCAACGGGAGGAATTTTATCGATATTGCAATTTTCGTGAGTGTTATTATATGCTACGTTACGTTCCTGCTTCAAATGTATCCAATTTGTGGAATTGCTGCGCATTACAACATAAGTGTCACAATACATTGTTCCCATCATCTCATCCCATCCGTCCGGCCAAACTAATTTCCAGTCTCTCTCGCAACTTCTCTCTCCGCCGTCTGGGGATCGTTCATTGAACATCGGTCTTAATTGCCGCCAAAATTCAGAGAACTGTGAGGTCCTGCGAATCCCATTCCAAACTTTCCATTCGCGATGCCGCTGCCATGCGGTTTGGAATCCGCGGCTAAATTGCTTTAGCTGCGCGCTTCGGGTTCATCTTCGATATGTGTCCTCGTATGCGGATGCCCCCCGCCCTCCGCCCCCCATCTCTCCCCCTCTCCCTCCTCCTCCCGATTCAATCGATCAGATTCATTACGAGTGGCTCAGTCTCCGGGATTATCCGATTTGAGAACTCATACGAGGGCATTGATTGGCGAATTCCGTTCGGTAACTCACGGCTGAATAATATTGTCATTAGTTTGTGTTCGCGCGCAAACTGCCGCGGTTGCGTCAATCTCGTGAATCTTGGATTTGTATTCAGGATTTCTGGATAATAGCAATATTGTCAGATATTTGACAATATATTATTGCGTATATAGAATGTAGCTTTTAATTAAGTCGCTTGCAAACGGGTTTTGTAAAGGAAAAGGGAAGTGTCAGTTGAATATATTTTGACTAAACAACATTTTGCGAAATTTCACACACCTGGGAAATATATTTA